CAACAGAAGAAAAGTGGATGGGTTTCTTCATTGCGCTGTTCCCCATCGTGGAACAATGTATTCCATCGAACCTGGTCAAGTCCTGCAAGATGCTCGTCGCCTGCGTCGACGAGGCTGCCCTGACGGATAATCAAAGCGTCAAGCTCAGCCTTGCTCTGAAGGACGTTCACTACGTCGTTGCAGAATTTGCCGAGGCCAGCGGTGACGCCTTGTCAACAGTTGGGTTTCTAATGGAGCTTCGAGCTGCGTTGACTGTTAAACTACTCGAGGAGATTAATTCCGCACTCAAGACCAAGACGAAGAGCAACAAGGAGTATGTTTTCATCAGCCTGGCGAACTTGCTGAAGTCAATGTCTGCTGAGGTGGCGAAGCGCGACTTCTGCTGCGATGGCAAGAAGGATTGGACTGACTCCTGGGCGGCTGCCGCAGCCAAGGCATGCGAGCTCCTGAAGGACGAGGAGATCCGCAAGCGGCAGGCAGAAGAGTTGCAGAAAGAACGGGAGAAGAATGCTATCGAGCGGCGCAAGAAAGCAGAGGCTGAGGCGGCTGCACATGAAGCCGCACAGAAATTAGACCTGAAGAAGTTAACGCTGGACCTTCTGAAGGGCAAGGCTACTCAATGTGGAATCGAGCTCGTTGGCAGCGAGACCAAGACAACGTTGATCGAAGCAATTGTGAATCACCATAAGAACAAGGTCAAGCAGGAACCAGAGGATGAACAGGAGCATGGCGCGGCGGATGATAATACCAGCGCGACCTTCACTGAAGAGCAGTTGCGGCTCTTTGTGAGCCAGCCGCGCACGAGACCGGGAGCGGCCGCCACAGACGGTACAGATCAGGATCAGGCGGCAAAGCGCGAGAAGAACATCGCAGAGTTGGTCCGAGTATACGACAGCACAGCCTACCCAGCGATCACCTCTATCATGCCCGTGCATGATGCAGCAGTGGACAGAACTACGCTGGCAGCCCTGGTCACGATGCAGCTCCAGAAGCTCCAGGCTTTGAACCTGGATGCCATTTGCCTCAAGGTCAAAGCAGGGAGCTCCATCGCAGATTCAATCGGATCCAGTTTCAAGCCGAAGCTTTTCGTTGACTATGACAAGCTTGATTGGGATGCCTTTGCGCTGCCCTTGAAAGGCAGAGTGGTCTGCACCATCGGGAACGCTGGCCAGAAGTCCTTCTACGACATGGGCTCGATCGGCATCGACGATACAAAGTACAACATGATTGCCACTCCAGGCGACTTCGACCTGGGCTGGCGAGTCAAGGCGCTCAGTCCTGACAAGGAGGACATTCCCGCGCTTGTTCCGCACGCTATCGACGTGCAGCTGAAGGTGGCTGACATCAAGAGGGCACTGGACTTCACGGTCGAAGAAGGCGATGAACAGGATACATGCGCACTGCACGCTCAGGTCCTCAAGATGAATCCCGACTTCAAGAAAGAGATCGAGAACATGAAGATGGAGCGGCAGCAGCTTCACGACGGTGGCGAGACATGCGGCCCCTTCGTGTTCGAGCTCACCAGGGCAGCTCTACCAGGAGAGAAGGCAGCCTTCGAGGCGAAGGTTGAGAAGGCAAAGGGCCGTGAGAAGCAGAGAAAGGCCGCGGAGAAGCTCCAGACTGAATTCGACGAGGAGGCAGAGGGCGACGCTCGCCTGAGCGTGGATGAGCTGCTCTCTGTCGCGCCTCACGTGGTCAAGAAATAGCAGGCCTGGGCGGCCTGAGGGGTCCCGAGGAGCGCCCGGGAGGCGCCCGTGGCAGCCGTGGCAGACGGAGCGCGGAGCTCCGTCAGTTGACCAGTTGACTAGCCTGGTCGGCGCCTGGCTGACCTGGAATAGCAACAGAATCCATCATCACCTCATCCAACGAGGGCTCCGCTGAACCCTTTCGATGTTTTGCGATCCTTGATGGGAGTTCCGCCTGGCCCCTACCTCCTTTCTGGTCCTTCCTTATCCTCCGTCCTCCTTCTCCTCCGTCCTCCTCCTTCTCCTCCGTCCTCCTCCTTCTCCTCCTCCTCCTTCTCCTCCTCCTCCTCTTCCTCCTCTTCCTTGGGTCTTCTGTCGGCAGGGGCTGGCGGCTGGCGGGGGCCCCGATCCGCGTGAGGGGTCCTCTGAAGTGGGCGGCTTTGGTGGGAGAACAGACGGCCACGCGCTGAGGCCATCCGATATTCCTGACCCTTGCTTGGGATTCCGCCTGGCCCCGAGGACCCTTGGCGGGGATGGATTTCCGCCGAACCCAGACGACGACAACCAGGACGAGAAAGATGAGGAGGGGCCCGAGGGGGAGGAGGAGGAGGACGACGACGCGGAAGGAGGAAGAGCAGGAGGAGGAGGAGGGGGGCAGGACGGAGGATGAGGAGGATGAGGACGAAGGCAACCCTTGATGAGGATCCCGCGATCTCCAGAAGAAATTGTAAATAATATGTAGAAGAATGTCCCAAGCTCATGCATTATGCTTTTCAGTTTCATTGGTTTCACATGCTGTGAATTTTCCAGAATCTAGTGTGCGCCCTTAACAAAATCCCTGATTCTCCAACATACAAACTTCACGAAATACAGTTGTTTGGTTTGCCGACGCCTGCAGAATCTGTTTTTTCCTGAAGATCGACGCTTCGAAATTCCATTTTTTCGAAGGCCAGCGCTGGCCAGCACCTCAGGAATTTCGCAAAATCTTCCAGAGGAAAGAGCCGTTTTGGATTACAACCAGAGGCTACTTTCAGCGTCCCCACTTCTGGAACCAGTTTTGCTCCATGGCCCAGTGCATCTCGGTCTTGCCCTCTCGGATCTTGGCCTTGAGCTGGCCGTGCTCGCGGGCGTCGGGCCCCTGCCAGTAGTTTGCGACGTCAGGGGCCGTGGGCGCGCAGATGCTATTCTTGAGCCGCGCTCGCAGCGCCGCTGCTTCGGTCCACTGGCTCGAGAGGCAGGCTGCGAACACGAAGCTCTGGCCGTGCTCCTGCTCGATGAAATCGATGGTCCAGCTTGCCACCAGCTCGTCCGTCCAGGTTCTCGGCTGCACCCACACGTCGATGGCCTCGAAGACCCTCGCGCGTTCCGCCTCGGAGAACTCGAGCAGAGCGTTGCGCCAGCCCTTGAGCAGTGCTCCTAGGGGCTCGCCTGCTCGGAAGCGCTCCGTCTCGCCATCGCTCCGCTCGTGGGTGGCGTCTCGCCGCCAGGTGCCCCTTGGCGAAGAATGCCGCGGGGCCCAAGAGGCCAGCGAAGCCGGTCAGTAGGGGCAGTGCCGTCAGGGCGAGCAGCCAAGTTTTCGTCAAGCCAAGGCAAACCCACTCAGGAGGGGAAAAAAAACACAGACACCATCATTCGTCGATTCCCAGGAAAATATGGGGAACCATGGGGAGTGGGGGGAAGGCAAAAACCAAGAAGAGATGGGAACAGATGGGGAACCCCACTATTTGTGTGTATTTTTGTGTGTGTCCTGGGGCCCCTTCACACACATATCTGCGCCTTGTGTCGTGAACGAGTCGCACCCTCCTAATTGTTGGCTGCGTTTTCCGATGCACTTTTGCTTTGTGTGTGTGGCAGGACTGCCACGACGGAGCGGAGGCAGCCAGTGTGCGAGTGCGGACAACCGTCAGCCAAGAGCACAAACGACCTGAGCCGCATCGAGGGAGGCCATCTCCCTAGCTATCGTGGCCCTTCGGCCGCAGCGCTAGAGATCCGAACGTCTGCTGTCCGGCGAGAGGTTTGCAAGCGATGCGCTGACCAAGTCCTCTTGTACCAAGATGTTCCAGAGAGGGGCCTTGAGCCATCGAGCTCGCCTTCTGCCGCCAGTACCCACGCTCTTCCCAGAGCAGACGACCCTGAGAGAGCTCAGTTCGCCTCCATTCGTTCGGGACTACGTTTCGGAAAAGGGGGAACCTAAAACGTGCGCGGGCGACTCTTCACAAGGATCGGACATATTGACCGCAGGTATCACTTCCTACTTTGATCATTGTTGTTCTGATTGTCCAGGGGTCTGGGCAGCAGCCAGTTGTGTTCTGCTGAATTGATTGCCCGAGTGTTGCTCCAAAGCCATCCATCCCCTCCCACTTTCCCTCGTCATCCTCACTGCCCAGTCCCCAGTTCCCCCCGCAGGAGAACCTGGGGGGCAGCCTGAGGGACAGAGGGCCCGAAAAAAAAACCCGCGAGAGGGTGCGTGCCTAGGTACGGGCGAACCCGTGGGCCCCGACCTGGGGGTCGACTGGGGGCCTCCTCGCGCCGCACCCTGCCCAGGTCGCAGTCAGCAGCAGCGGCAGAGACGACCCATCCTGGGCGCAGACCCCATAGCTCTTGCGGTTGGGCTCGACATGCTCCTCGAGCAAGTGGCGGGGGGAAGGAGGAGGAGCCTCCTCCTTCCCCTCGGAGAATTATTGGATCCCCTCGGAGAATTCTTGGATCGGCGCTGGATCCAAAGAACCCGCGCGGAGCTCCGAGAAGTTATGTGTATGCCGTGTTTAGTTCCTCGACCCCTCCAGGAGGATGAGGAGGAGGAGGAGGAGGAGGAGGAGGAGGTAACTCTGCTCGACGAATGGGGGGTGCACCCAAGACAAGGCAAATTGGGAGATGCGGGAGCTGACGACCCGTCGCAAGAAGCAAATGGACCTACCACCCGAACCGATGCAGAGATGGCGCACCACGAGGAGGAAGAGTAGCCCCTCCTCCAGGAGAAAGGATTATCCAGGATCCCGAAACATGCTTTTGTTTTGCGCGTGTGCTCAAGATTTTGAGCTTCGAGATGCCTTCGGTAGCCTCCAGGAGGCGGGACCGCTGTGAGCAGAGCCGAGCCCCGACAGCGCGGAAACTGACGACTATTTGAACGATTTCGTGTGATTCTGCCACGTGTCGGGCGATCTCGTGGCAACCTCGTGGCACCGTGAGGGATGGAGGTGCAGAGTTCTCACGGGCAAGCACCCCGAGGGCGAAGGAGTGGTGTCCGGTGTGGTTCCAGCTGCGTACATGAGGCAACCGGTGTCCAGATTGAAAGCAAGTCCTCTGTGCCCCCAGGCCCGCCGTCGCGCTCGTCGGGACCGCCTGCGTGTTCGCGGCCTCCGCGTGCGCGTGGCGGCTGCGGGACTTCTGAGGGGCTGCCGGCCGTCTGGCCCTCCGCCTTCGGAACGCAGGCAGGGGCACAGGGTCGATCGCCATGAATCCTCGAGGAGCAGACAGTTGCTGGGCCTGCTTTCCACCACCACCATAAGTTGGAGGGGGGACGGCGTCCTCCTCCCCCTCTTCTTCCTCCTCCTCACCCTCCACCTCCTTTTCCCCCTCCAACTTATGGTGGTGGTGGTGGAAAACAGGCCCATCGACAGTTGCATAAGCATGATACAATTTTTGGAAAGCCGCGCATGTTTCTCGGATTGGCGCTGGGGCCCCCCTGGCGGCGCCTCCAGCGCCGCCCCTGGCACGCTCCGCGCGCCATGGAGGGAGGTCCAGCGCGGATCCACGAAATCCACGCGGAGCTCCAAACATTGATGTGCATGCCGTGTTTGTTGATCTGATGAGGAATGCCCTCGTTTCCACGCTTGGATTCGCTTCGGAATTGGGGTCAGGACGCGCCCCAGGGCAAGTCCGTGGAGTAGCGGTATGGATCTTTATTTTTCCCTCCACAAGCGGGTCCTGAGGCGTTCAGGTCTTGAGGTGTTTCGCCGTTGTCAGGCTTGCGGCGCCCCCCCCGGGCCCTGGGACCATCAAAGAATGACTCGGGACGAAGAGTTGGTCCCCTTCAGACCAGACGTGGCCTGTCCAACTGCGGCCGCTGTTCGTTCTGGGCAACTGTTGCCGTTGGGCATCGCACCCGCTTCTTCCGCACTTGGTGGGAGTAACAGCAGCTGGTTGGAGTGGCCAGTTCGGTCCTTGTCGATAGCCCTGTGCGCCTGGCCGTCGGAGCAAGCGCGCGCGCGCAGTGCCAGACTGGGGGCGCCGGCGCCGCAGGTGCGCCGGCCGGGGCCGAAGTGTCTTTGAATCGCGGCGTGGTCGGCGTGTCGTCCCCGAGCCAGAGGGCGAGCCCAGAGCCTCTGGAGGGCCCCGCGCTGGAAAGCATGCGCGCTCAAAGAAGGGTGGAGGGCTTCGCCGGCCGATGCCAGCGTCCTGGGGCCATGCGGGGCCCGTGGGGCCGTCAGGGAGCGATGCAGGACGAAAGTGTACCCAGGGAAGGGTGCGCGACGGGTTGCGAGTCCTACTCCTGCGGGTCTACCTGCACTCGGGGCTGGGGTGTCGGACGCCCCCGCCTGGGTTCACGCGGCTGCAGGCCTCCTTCAAGCTCAGAGCCCCGCAGTCAGTGTTTCTGAAATCAGCTGCAGCGGTACACGTTGGCTGTCAGGAGTGAGTATTTCTGGACTCCCGGATCCCAATCTGCTTTGGGCTTCTTCCTGCTTCAATCATAGAGTGCCTTCACCTTTTCCTTCCAGTTCAGGGGGGGAAGCCCAGTCTACTTCAGCGCCTTCCTACTTCATGTTTCTACCCACTACTTCGGAGTGAGTGGTAGGGTTTACATGTGGTTGCCCAGTTGGGTTGAGAGTTCCGGAGGGGATCGTGCCGCGAGAAGGGTCGTGCCTCCGGCCGGGTCTCTGGGTCTGTTTTTCGCTGCATCTTCGGGGGGCGTTGTCTCTCGTGTGACTTGCGGGCTGTTCCTGTGTTCGACGCGGGGCCGGCACGGATGCGGCGTGGAGTTGGCGTGGATAATTCGTGGATCCGACGTGACTTCGAAGCTGGTTCTGCAGGCTTGACGTGGGCTCGACGCGGACTCGACGCGGCTCGCGGCGCGACGGGACGGGCGGGGAGCCCGCGCAGGTGCGGGCGGGCGGGGAGCTCCGAGCAGCAGGTGAGAACAGCTTTCGCTGCAGGGGGCGGCGCCTGTCCCAGGGCGGCAGGCGAGGTCACGCGTGCCCCCTCCTGGCGGGGGGCGGGGGTGCGAGATCTCCAGCCGCACGTCGCCCAGGGTCTAAAACGTTCGTCTCGACCGTTGGCTGCACTCGGCTGCGAGCGCCGGGGGAGAGGTGAGACGGGGCGGGCCTTCGCCGAAGGCTCGGAAGTCCCTTTCAGCCTTCTGAGAAGTGTTCTGAGCCCTCCCCGAAGAAACAGAAAACGTCTCAGAAGGCGCGAGGGTTTCTGAGAAGTCCAGCTGCCTTTGAGAAGGCTGTCTCCTTGTCACTTCCGCCCCTCGCTCGCCGCCGGCATCCATCCTTCTGCTGCGAACTGAGGGGGGCACAACGCCCACGAACGGCCAAACAGGGAGGAGGAGGAGGACACGGGTTCTACGATTCAATGATGTATGCCTTTGCCAGTGGCACCGCCCCCTGGACTAGCTCCTCCCTGGCCCTGGCAGGATCGGCCATCCCATTTCACTTGAAGGATGCGGCCAGTCATCGTCCAACTACTGGGTTCTGACAGCTCGGATTTCCCGCAAGCTGCCCTACAGTCTCGCGTACTTCGCCGATGACCGCCTCGGCCCACAGATGGGTGTAGGCACCCTATAGTGAGCTTGGTAATCCTGTAGAGATGGGTCCTCGTTTGAGATATGCAGCGCCGTGCCTGCCTCCTCCTCCTCCTCCTCCTCCTCCTCCTCCTTCTCCTGCCTTCGCCAATGTCGACATCCCACGTCGGTTTTGCGCACCGCGGGGGGGGGGCACCTGCCGCCCCAGGGGGAGCGTTCGCATGCCGCCCTCTCCCTTGATTTTGACACGTACGACCACACACGCGCACACACGCACGCACGCACACGCGCACGCACACGCACACGCACGCGCACGCACACGCACACGCACACGTACGCACACACACACACACACACACACACACACACACACACACACCACACACACACACAACACACACGTACGCACGCACGCACGCACGCACGCACGCACGCACGCACGCACTCACGCACGCACGCACGCACGCACGCACACACACACACACACACACACACACACACACACACACACACACACGTACGCACACACACACACACACACACACACGTACGCACACACACACACACACACACACACACACACACACACACACACACACACGCACGCGCGTACGCAAACACGCACTGGTGTCGCGGCCACGCGCGCGGCGGCGCGGCGTAGGTCCAGCGAGGCGGGAGCGCGCGGGCCAGGCCAGCTCACGCAGCTCGGCGTAGGGAAACAACGCGCGCGCACACGCGCGCGCACCACACGCATCATGACTCACAGGGAGGCCTGCCTTCGGCCCCTCGTGAGCGTGCGCATGCCCGCCCCCCCCCCCCCTACGTCGGCATGCCCCTCGAGTGGAGCGTGCCCCACAGGGGTCCGCAGTCGTCCCGCCTCGCATGTCGGCACACGGCCCGCGCGGCTCCTGCCCACGGGAGCTCCACCGGCGGTGCCCATGGGCACGTCCGCGCGCGGTCCCTTCCGCTCTTCTCCGGCGCGCCCGCGACGCGCATCTTGCCCCACGGGGAGTGCAGCATCCCGCCTCGCGCAGTGGCCCCGCCTGCCCCCCCGGAACGCAATTGCTCCGCGGCGGGCAAGGGAAGAGGAGAGGGCCGCGCCCCGCGCCGCGCGCAGCTGCACGGGCTTGGGCCCATCGCCCATGCTGACTGCAGCGTCTGCGTCCCCCGCGCACTGCTTCTGGTCTGTGGGTGCCCCTGGGGACCTCCACCCGATCTCGACTGAGGGGCCTGCTTTCCACTACCACCGTGAGTTGGAGGGGGAGGGGGTCCTCCTCCTCCACCTCCTCCTCCTGCTCTTCGTCCTCCTCCTCCTCGTCCTCCGCCTCCTTTCCCCCTCCAACTTATGGTGGTGGTGGTGGAAAACAGGCCCATCATCGAACGTGTGCGGCCTTCGGAGCGCCTGCCTGACTGTTTGCACGGGTCTATTCGCGGAGGCTCGCCGACCACGCCGGAGTGGAGTTTTTGTTACGCGCGCCCCCCCCAGCTGGAGCCGGCCGTTTGGCGCTGGCTGGAATGGAATTCCGACGCTCCCTATCGGCACACCCTCTCGCTCCAGCACGGCGAGGTGAAGACTAGGATGAGGGGCAGCAATGACGCAGAAGGAGGACAGGGGGGGAAGGAGGGAGGAGGAGAAGGATGGAAGGGATGGGTGATACGGGACGCACACCGTGGTGCCGCGCACCCTTGACGCCATGTTTTCAGATTGCCCTGTGAGCGCTGTGCTCACCGTACTTCAAAAGCGCGCAATAGTGGACCATGCAACGTGCACAACTGACTAGAGTCGGCCACGCGCAGGTGGAGGTAGGGGGAGGGGGAAGGCTTCTTAGAAGCACCCCTGCTTCTCAACAGGAGCGGACCTTGTCTATAGATGTAAGGCCCGCGCCTTCTAAGGAGCAGCCTCCTTCTAAGAAGCCTTCCCCCTTCCCCCCTACCTCCCTCTGCGCGCCGTCAATGACGGCTTCTGGCGTGGTGGCCCTTCCCTTCGGAAGCATGCGCATCTTGCCAAGCTCAACGCACCAAGGCCGCAAACGTTGCCCTGCACAGTGCCGTCCTGGTCCCTGAGGCCACCGACGCAGAAGGTAGCCACGGGGAGCTGGGGCGGGGCCAGTCGGGTCGCGCTTACCTGGCGAACTTGAGGATGCGTGCGCTGCTGGCTAAGCTGGCGAACCTCTGGGGTCAGGCGGGAAGCAGGAGGAGGATGCGGGATGCGGAGGAAGATGAGCTACGGAGACTGGAGTCGGCCCTCGCTAGCCGCCATGCATACATCGGTCTATGTCAGACTCCTCCCTCCACCACTCCTCCCTCGCTCTTCTCCACCTCATCCCCCTGCCCATCCTCCACCTCTTTCCCCTGCTTCCCCGCCTGTTCCTCTTCCGCCTCCCAGCCCCTCAGAATGGAATACAATTTTTTGTTAGCTCGCGCCGCATCGAGTCGCATAGAGTGCCCCCAAATGCCGGACGCGGGAGGACCTGCCTTCACGCCCAGGCAGGCGGGCGAGAAGCGCCCGATGGGGGCTGCGAGGTGGCGCACGATTCGCCCCCGGATGCGGCCGAATCGGCCAGATGCATTGTCGAGGAGGGCGTAGAACATACGCCTGAAACGATCCTGGCCACACGGATCCCGGGCCCAGGATTCGGGCGGGGCCAGGGCGAGGGCGAATCCGTTCCAGAGCGTTCCGGAGCGCTCTCAGAGCCTTCTGGAACTCTTCGAGAAGGCCGCGGCGGCCGAATCATCCCGCAGATCCACCGGACCTCAGAGTTCCTCGATGCATCCGTACCCGATTCTATCTTCGCCCTGGCATCGTCGTAAGGGTCGCTGTGCTGCACATGCTCTCCCGGCCGTGCAGGGGGGGCGCGCAGCAGGAAACCGTTTTGGCTTTCCGTCAGGGTGCCCCGGGCCTCTTCGCTCCGCGCGCTTCGCGGTGCCCTCCCGCGGCCGTCAGGGGAGGCTGCCGCGTTCAGGGTGCTCCGGGTGGCCCCTCAGGGTGCACCTCGAAGTCGCGTGTTCTCGGGGTCTGGTTCCTTGCGACCGCGCCCGCACTGTGCTGCACACGCCCTCCCGGCCCTCCCGATGCCGGGCCCGGGATCTGCCCGGCCAGGGCTGCGTGCTGGGACAATGTGGTGGAGAGCAGAGGGGGGGCGGGGCCATGAAAGGGCCGTCCGTCTGCGAGGGCCCCTGCTCCTCTCGGGCCAGGCGAAAGGGGGGGATTGGGAAAGGGGGGGTTACGAAATCTGCTGCACGCAGCCGGTTTCGGCCTCGCCGAGGGGCCCATCCCTTGGTACATGGCCGCCTCCCGGCGCCGGGAGGCGCCGGGAGAATCAGATACGTGAGCTGATTCTCAAACCCCCCCTTTGCTATCCCCCCCTTTCGCCCGACCCGATCCTCAGGAGGCCTGGGGGCAAGGAGGCCTGAAAGCGACTATAGTCAAGAAGTGGCGAAGCGTCCCGGGTTGCCCAGGGCCCACCAAAGAGTGTTCTGAGAACCCCCTTGTAGTTTGCACGAAATTTTGTTGGAAAGCTTCTGGCTGGAACCGTTACAGTTTAATGCATTCGCCCTTGTTTCGAGAACATTGTTTTTGCGCGTAGCATTTTATCTTGTTCTAAGAGCATGTTGCGGTAGTCGTACAGGAATGCCGGGACGGTCGGTCGGTCATTGCTCAAGCTAGGCTCGGAGCAGCAAAAGGTCATGAGAGTTGTAAGTTCCAAGATGTTCAGGATCTCTTTGATTTTCTGATGGTCCACATGGGGCTGCAGAAACGAGGGCCGCTCGATATTCTGGAAATCCTGAGACGCACCCTGAGCCAATCCTATCAGGACATTGCTCATGTTCTATCGTCTATCGTCTTGCAGGGGCGCCCAAGATCTGATGGGATGCGATTCGATTTGCCAGCTGAGGCCGCGATCCCGACTCGATTAGATTCGGTTCGATTCACTTGCACCGGCTGGGGCCAGCCCCGAGCTGTCTTTTGCGATCCTTTTGTTGGCTTCGACTCGGGGCAAAACGCTAGCGACCTGATCCGCTTCCCACCCGATCCGCCCCCTCAATCAGATCCCGCTCGAGCCCGCCGGTCCTTTCCGAGAACCTCGCCAGCCGATCCCCCCGAAGGTTTCGAGCGCAGTTCCCGGAAGGTTCAGTTCAGCATCGATTCTGATATATTTGTGGTCGAAAATTCACCCGCTTCATCGGGCTGAGTCCTGAGCTGCATCCAGGCCATTCGGGCTCACTGGCCTTTGAATCTTGCTGAATAGCCCTCGATCGTTCGTTCTGACAAGAACCTCCCAGGAGTTGCCTCCCGATGCTCCGAGAAGCCCGCTGGCCCTTGCCCCCCGGGAGCTCTGGCCTCCCTCTGCGCGCCACCAGGCGATGCTCCCCCGTCCCGCGGTGGTCTCGCGACCCTGTGAGGGGGCGAGATCCGAGCCGTGGCCTCGCCGAGCAACGCTTCTCGCAACTCGATGGGTGGCGGGGGGGTGCTTACCAGCCTGGAACATATCCCTATCCCTATGCTGGGCACCTCCTCATCACGATGCCAATCTTAGGGATTCCCTTGTTTTTTGGAGGGCGAATTCCTAAGATTGTCATCGCCTTTTGGCGTGACAATCTTAGGGATAGGGATACGTTCGAGGCTGGTAAGGTGCGGTGCGGAACTCGCCGAGCGCGTGGCGAAAGCCGAGCCCCACCTCCGCCTCCCACCGGTGCGGAAGAATCGATGGTTCGGGGGTGGACAGGACCCCCAACAGTGGCACGTCGATTCGTGAACTGTCCGTTTTCGGTCCTCGAGAGGGCGCCGTGGCCGTTGTTTTCCAGGCTTGCGCCCGCCAGGTTTGGGCCCGAAGTCGCCTTCACTAAACCGCGTTTGACGAAAGGGGGGTCTGTCCATCCCCGAATGGTTGGTGGGGGTCGAGTTTGGATGTCGCCACCTTCGAGTAGGGGATCGGCCACAGAGTTGTCTCACCCCGGAATCGATTTCCCCGTCGGAATCGATGGAACATGGAGAGAGCATGCCCAGTAGATCGACGGAGCATTCTACGTTCTCTTCGCGGGTTCGGCGAGGAGATGAATTCTGGGGGCGATCAATCAGCATCGTGTAACCGACCCCCATCCCCACCCCCACCCCCTTCGAGACCCCAAACAAATTACCCCCAGTTGGGGATACACCCCTCGAAACCCGAAGGGAGCGGCCTATATCCCCATCTAGGGGGGTAAATCGGCCAGTGGGGCCCAGGCCACGCTGCTGGGGATAGGGATCGGATAAACGATGCTCGATCACTTCTGTAGTCGATCCCCTACTCGACACCTGCTCCGTCTGCAAGCCGTCGGGCGGTGCTCCCCCTCTCGCGGTGGCCTCGCGACCCTGGCGCGCTGCGCGCGGGGCTCCCCTGGGCGCGTGCGGCGCGCCGGGTCGGAGGTTCTGCTGTTCCGCTCCCCGCCCTCTCCTCCTCCTGCTCCTCCTCCTCGTCCTCCTCCTGCTCCCCGCCCTCTCCTCCCCTTCTCCTCCTCCTGCTCCTCCTCCTCCTCCTGCTCCTCTTCCTCCTCCGCCTCCTCCTCCTCCTGCTTCTCCTCCTCCTCCTCCGCCTCCTCCTCCCCCTCCTCCTCCTCCCCCTCCTCCTCCTCCTCCTCCTCCTCCTCCTCCTCCTCCTCCCTGACGTCCGCCGAGAGGAGTTTTCTCAGCGCGCGGCCCGGAGATCCCGACCCCTTCCACGGGCCCAGCTGTCTTGATCCAGATCTACTCTGATGTTAACCAGGGGCCCGGCGAGCGGGACCCCTTCGAAGAGCAGCGCCGGATGGAGAGGCTCATGTCGTCGGAGATGCCTCCTCCTCCTCCTCCTCCTCCTCCTCCTCCTCCTCCTCCTCCCTCTTTACTCCTCCCCTCTCCCCCTCCACCCCCATCTCTCCCCCATGAGGCCGCGCCACTGCGGCTGCCATCCGCCGCTCACGCAACCGGGCTGGCTGTGGCTACAGGACCTTTTGCCACAGAGCCCAGGCCGCGCAGGGCTCGCTGGCAACCCGAACGTGGTCGGCGCGCCGCCCGGCCGCGCGGGCACAAAGGCCTGGCGGCAACCTCAGGGGCAGCGCTGGGGGAGGATTGCGGGCCCAGGGGCCACCAAACCGCGTGGTGACCACAACGTGTGGTGAGTCGGTAGGGATTCGGGGTCACCGCACGGTTTGGTGATCCGGTGGGCTCTAAAGAGCAGGTCTCGGGCGATCGGTCCCTGCAGTGTCCCAACACCGTGTGGTGACGGACCGTGCGGTAAGGTCTTCAGGGATTCCAAGGTCGCCGCGCGGTCTATGATCACACGGTTTCGGGACCCAGAATGGGCTCATGGGGGGGGGCATCGACCCACAGTCGCCCATTGATCGCCGATAGGGGTCTACTAGCCGATCCCGTCCATGAACGCGCGGATTCGCTCTCGGGGGCCCCTCGCCAATCCATCGGCGATGTACCTCGCCGATGCCAGGTCGGTTTTCCCTCCCCCCCCGAGCTGGTCCCTCCCTGGCGTTGCCCCTCACCACTGCGCTCGGGCGCGTCCACGAGGGGCGTGAGGAGCAGGGGCGCGTGGATGCCGTGGCCAGCGTGACGCTTCCGACGCCGGAGCGGGAAAGGGGACGAGAAGCTGTCGTTGGCTCTTGCAGGTCGTCCTTCCGTGGGGGGCTTCCCGGCAGCTGCGCCTCGCCCAGAGCTCCTCGGGCGTGGCCCGGATCGCCCCCCCCCCCGCCGGCCGCCGGAGGCCGGCGTAATGAGCCGACGACCGCTTGGCGTAGACGAGGGGCTGAGGGCCAGGGGGGGCATGTTGATCGGGGCCATGGGAGCTGCCACGGGTGTTCGCGGCCCCTTCCTCTGCTTCGGAGGCACCCCCTGGGAGGTCAAAGTCTGACTGTGCCCTGGTCCGACGTCCGGCTTATACTCCAGCTCGATCCCGCCCGATCCGGCGCAATCCCGGTGAATCCGCGGCCGAACTTGGCGCAGAAACCCCCCAAATGGGGCCTATACTCCAAATCCCGTAGCAATCGTCCCCCCGGTCCGTTTTTTCAAGGCGCCTTTTTTGTAATTGGTGGGGTCCGGTTTATTCGGGCGCGTCCTTTGGACTCGCGCTTAGGAGGCCGGCTTATAAAGGCGCCCCGTCGGAGAGAGGGGGTCCGGAATATCAGGTCGCATTTGGAGGGGGGTCCGGTTTGGGGGCGGGGTCGATTAGTAAGGGATTTTGAGTAATCTGACGAACCAGCAACACATACCCATACCCATAGGAGGATCGGAGAGGGCTATGGGTGCGTGTTGTCGGATGGGGGTCCCCGCTCGAACGGGAGCGTTCCCCAGGGTCCGACAACCCGCACCCATAACCATAGCCAGTCCTCCTCCCAACGACCCCCCTATGGGTTATAGGTGTGTGTTGTTCGTTCGTTAATCTCCTTTGGTCCTTCCGGCGAAGACCTCGCAGCGGGTGCCTCGGGGCTCTTCTCTCGGCGTGCCCCCGGGGCCCGCCCCCTATTCGTCCGGCCACGGGGCGCTGGCCCTTCCTGTTCTGAGGGGCCGATCTGCTACCACCATCACCAGATGTAGGAGGGGGAGGGGGAGGAGGAGGAGGAGGGGATGAAGAGGAGGAGGAGGAGGAGGAGGAGAAGGAGGAGGGGGAGGGGGAGGAGGAGGAGGAGGAGGAGGAGGAGGAGGAGGAGGAGCTCCCCCGTCCTACCTGTGGTAGTGGTGGTCGAGAACTGGCCCATCATCTCTGGGGCCCCCTGCTCGGGGACTCTTCGACAAACCAGGGCGAGGAAGCCGCAGCGGTGGGTCGCCAGACATATTGTGTTGTATTTTTTCGACGAAAAATAAAAAGTACTCCGAAAATAGCCCAAAGAGGTCAATAAATACTAAAAAGATGTCTCCAGACTATTTTTGAGCTATGTTTGGAATCTGTTTGGGGTATGCTTTATTTTTCGTCGAAAATCCCCCTGTAGGGGGACAGGCCCGACTTAACACTAAAGTTCGAGGAGGGGATCGACTAGCTGATGTACCCCAAGATTGACTTTCCCGTCGAATCCGCGAACGAATGGGCAGAATGTATCGTAGCTCTGCGGAGCAGTCTCTACGTATTCTTCACAGACTCGACGAACAACTCAATGTTGGGGTCAATCCATTCTGTAGTCAATCCCCTGCTCAAAAAGTCCTGGTTAGTACTGTCCTGCGTTAGAGGGCCCAGACCCGTCCTTCTGGCACCCCCTCTCGGGCGCACCCGAGCTGCGCGCGCGCGTGCCTCGCGCGACCTGCCGGCGGGCCAGAAGAATCGGCAGGGCTGGGCCAGGCAGTGAGGATCGCCACGGGTTGGCACGACGCAGAGTGGTAAGGCTTCGGATCGCGCACCGAGAGGTCCCGCCGAGGGAGCGCCTCCTGGCCTCAACAGTCCCACCGAGTAGTCCTGGGCGGTCTTGACACCCTGGCGCCCCATGGGCGTCCCGCGCCCAGGGGTTGGGGTGTTGACATCGCTTCAGACTGCTGGGAGAGCCTGTTGAACACAGCCAAGACAACACCGGGGGGGTCTGTCCGCAACCCGAGGCCTCACCAAAGGAAAGAATGAGGACGAATACCGATAGCAGTTGTGGCTCAGTTTGAAGAAGGTCTCGCTGTGGATGTCGCCGCGGACGCCGTCGGCTTGACGCAGCCCAGAGCGGCCGCTGTAGGGTTTGGACAGTATCTTGCATTGGGCACCGTGCCAGTTATTCCTGCACCCAGCTCGGGCGTAACGGATGGAGGAAGCAGGTCCTGAGGGGAACGGTCCTAAGGTTTTCTCCTGTGCTTTTTCGGTCTCTGGGACGGTAGAACCAGAACCCAAGACGAAAAACCGCTTATTGTGGAAAGGCCCCGGGGGCGAAGACTCCTTTATTTTCAGGACCCGTGTGATTCTCTCCAGGGGAGGGCCAGAGGTGCCAATACCAGAGAGAGAGCCGGAGGTTCCACTACGGCGATCTGGCTTCACCCGCTCAGTGGAGCTCAGGGAAGGCAATCGTGCCCGCGGACCTTTCCCAACCCTGGGGCCGCTGGTATTCCCCAGCGCACACTGCACGTGAGGGTCCCAAGTACGTATGCCAAGGCCGGTGGGTGGTCCGCGAGGTCCGAGGGCGGCGCGTGGTCTATGGTCGTGGTTCCGGGGCGGGAGCAGCAGCGGTCCAGGAGGGGCGGGCAAGCGGCAGGAGTGGGAAGGATGAGGTGGTGCAGGCTCGGGCATGCCCAGGAAGAGGACACCATCTCGAAAAACGGCCAGGAGGGGGGGGACGACTCAGGGGGGGTGGACATCAGGTCGGGGGCCAGGATAGCTCCCGGGATGTCGTGGCGCCTCTGCTTATATTTCAGTACGTCCCGAGTTGCTTCCTCCCGTCTTGGTCGCCCCCCCCTCCTGGCCGCCCCCGACGGGAAAAAGACATCGCTCCGGAGCGTGCCAGGAGCTCGCAGGGCTGCCAGGAGCGATGCGGATCGGCCACGGCGCCCAGTCATCCTCCAGGCCCAGCCGAGGGATCCCGAGCTGTCTCGGCCTGCCAGCGTGTGTGCGCGTGTGCGCGTGTGCGTGTGTGCGTGTGTGCGTGTGTGCGTGTGTGCGTGTGTGCGTGTGTGCGTGTGTGCGTGTGTGTGTGTGTGCGTGTGCGTGTGCGTGTGCGTGTGCGTGTGCGTGTGCGTGTGCGTGTGCGTGTGGGTGTGTGGGTGTGTGGGTGCGTGGGTGCGTGGGTGTGTGGGTGTGTGGGTGTGTGGGTGTGTGGGTGTGTGGGTGTGTGGGTGTGTGGGTGTGTGGGTGTGTGGGTGTGTGGGTGTGTGGGTGTGTGTGTGTGGTGTGTGTGTGTGTGTGGGTGTGTGGGTGTGTGGGTGTGTGGGTGTGTGGGTGTGTGGGTGTGTGGGTGTGTGTCTGTGTCTGTTTCTGTGTCTGTGTCTGTGTCTGTGTCTGTGTCTGTGTCTGTGTCTGTGTCTGTGCCTGTGTCTGTGTCTGTGTCTGTGTCTGTGTCTGTGTCTGTGTCTGTGTGCGCGCGTGCGCGCGTGCGCGCGTGCGTGCGTGCGCGCGTGCGTGCGTCTGTGTGTGTGCGTCTGTGTGTGTGTGTGTGCGTCTGTGTGTGTGTGTGCGTGTGTTGTGTGTGTGTGGTTGTGTGGTGGCGTGTTGCTGGGCGTGTGCGTGTGCGTGTGCGTGTGCGTGTGCGTGTGCGTGTGCGTGTGCGTGTGCGTGTGCGTGTGCGTGTGCGTGTGTGTGTGTGTGCTTGCGTGTGTGTGTGTGTGTGTCTCATTGCCGTCGCTGCCGCAGGTGAATGGACAAGAAGCGGCAGAAGCCATTTCCTTGGATGAAGCGATCCATGGCCCGGGCCAGTTATGTTCAAATTCTTCATGCGTGGCCGTTGGCGTCAGCGACTTGCTGTGGGCTAGGGGCATTCGCAGCGGAGAAGGCCCCAGTCAGTTAGCCGCACGCTCGATGGAACGCAGGGGTGGAACGCCGCCGCTTGCCCGCCGCGCCCCTCCGCCGACAGCGGCGGCGGTGGCGGCGACGGCGACCACGCAGAGCGGCCCACCAGGTGCGCTCGATGACGAACTGGGCGAGCACAGAAAGAAACAGAAGCGGAAGAAGCACCGCGACCGCGAGGAGTCCAATGCCGCGGGCGGCTTCACGGCGCGCGCCCTCCGCTCCAACGGGGGGGGCCCCTCCTCGCAGACCCCGGGGGGCCCGGCCTTCGGGGACCTCGGCGGGTGGTGGGCGTGGATAGACTCTGGCCCCCCGGGGCCCAGATGTGTCCACGTCCACCGCCCGCTGGCGTCGCAGGACGTCTGCTCCCCAGTCGGTCTATGTGGGCGCATCATTATGTCGGTCCTGTCCCTCTACAGGGGGAATATTCAAAACAGTAAAAAATAGTCTGGGGACTCTTTTTGTTAGTATGCTGGGGCATCTTGGGTGGATTTTTTTTTGGCGGGATTTTGATTCTTCGCCCCAAATCCCCCTGTAGGGGGACACGCCCGACTCAAACGTGTCCCCGCCTCGCCCCGCGCTCCCTCCGCGAGCCGCCGCCCCACCACAGCGGCCCCGCGCCCCGTGCGGGGCCCCCCGCCGCGGCCCCAGGGGGTGTCCAAGGACTCCAGCAAGGCGGTCGACGCCGACGGCGACATGGGCGGCGTCAGGCGCCTTGCGTGCGCCACGCCCGCGCCGCCGGGGGGCCGGGCAGGGCGGCGTGGAGGAGGAGGAGGAGGAGAACGAGGACGAGGAGGAGGAGGAGGAGGAGGAGGAGGAGGAGGATGAGAACGAGGACGAGGACGAGGAGGAGGAGGACGAGGACGAGGAGGAGGCGGAGGAGGAGGAGGAGGAGGAGGAGGGGGAGGCTCCCAAACCAACGCACAAAGCTTCCGGAGGTCCTCGCGGATTTGTCGGATCGGCGCTGGGGCCCCTTGGCGGCGGCTCCGGCACTCCGCGCGCCAGGGAGGGGGCTCTGGCGCCGATCCGAGAGATCCACGTGGATCTCCGGGAGTTTTGTGCTCATGTCCTCGTTTGTGCCCCGTTGGGCGCCGCATCACGGGTCAGCGTCAGGGTGGGACTGGCCCCGGACGTCTGCTTTCACGTGGCACGGCCTCGCGCACGAGAAGAGCAGCGTCGTGTTCCGCGGGCTCCTGGAGTGTTTTCGGGACGACGCTTCGCCGTGCGAGCAATGGTCAGTGCCCCACGCCTTGCTCCGCTTCCGTTCCCGCTGGTCCGAATGTGGCGCCAGGCTGCTTGGCATCGCTCGGACGTGTGCGCTTTTCCTTCGGGGAG